GTTTGGGGAAATCAGGCAGTGTCTCATCTGTTGTTAATTAATGAAATGAAACTGGGGTCACCAGAGTACAACAATGAATGAAAGGTCAGTGAATGGAAAAAACTGTCAGTGAAAGAGGATGTCAGCAGAGTGGAACATTGTCATAGATAAAGATCAGGGAAAATGTGCCCTTTGGCTGAGAGTAGTGGTTTAAAAAAATTTTTTTTAATTGTTTTGAGGGGTGGGGGAGGAGGGGTTCATTTTGTTGTTCTGCTTATTTATGCATTAATCGGTTGCTTCTCGTATTTACATGCAGCCTTGGTGTATCCCACACACTTTAACCAACTGAGCTACCTGCTCAGGGCCCTGATGTAGCATTTTCTGTAGGCAACTATGTGCTATGGTTTGGGACATTTTAAGCCAGACTGAACACCAAGTAAATGCTCCGAGTTCAATAAAATCTGCTAAATATTTTAAGGCTGTTCCAGTTTGTGCTGGAGGTTCATTGAAAAAATTTGTGAAAAATAGGTTTCTTTTTGTTTTATAATGTGTTTTACAGTGTTATTGCTATTTTGTTTGCCTTTTGGGTTTTGTTTTGGGGTTGAATATGGGTTTCTTCTTTCATTTATTTCTGTTCTCTGTCTTAGAATTTTCTAGAAGCCACACTCACTTTTGAGGTCCACTGAAGTTAAAGTGCTTTAGGATCACTGTACTACTTAATGATGGAGCTGGACCTGGAAGAGCCCAGGCAGGCTGACTCGCAGTTATGGTGGTTGCAGAATCACATCCCCTCTGAAAGTGGTTCTGAGGGTGGCCTGAAAGCCATCAAGACATAGCTTCAGCCTCACTGCCAGCATGCAAACTGTGATGTTGAACAGACCGGTGACTGTGTTTCAAGTAATCCACGTGAAGGGCATTTAAAGAGGCTCTTGTGTCTGGGCTCCTGTCAGACTCCTTTCCCCTTTTTTTTTCTGTCACTGAAGCTTTTGAAACCATATGGCTTTGGGGAAACAGGTCTCTTCCATCACTTTGGGAGAGGCCCATGGCTGTTTTTAGCCTGGTCCTGAGACCTGGCAGGTCACCACCGCTGGTGAGGGGAGGACTCTGTGGGAATCAGCGGGGCGGTCCCACATCCTAGAGCAGGGGTGTCACACTCATTTTCACCAGAGGCCACATCAGCCTCGCGGTTGCCTTCAAAGGGCCAAATGCAATTTTAGGACTGTATAACTGTAACTCCTCTTTCACAGTTAAGTAAGAGCTCAGTGCTACTGCCAGGTAGAAACAAAGTGCCGAGCCGGATAAAACAAGGTGGAGGGCCGGATTCAGCCCAAGGGCCTTGTGTTTGCCACCTGTGTCCTAGAGAGAGTTGAGCCCACAGTGTCTGAAGAAGTGATGCAGCACCACAGCTGAGGGGACAGTCTCGAGCCAGGCTTCAGAGGCTCATATCCCAGCCCTGCCAGTTAGTACCCTCTGTCTCTCTGAACCTCTATTTTTTATATCTGTACTATGGGAATAGTAACAGCACCTAACTCATAGGGTAGTTGTAAAGATTGAATAAATACTTGTAAAGTGCTTAGAGCAATGCTTGTCACGCAGTAAATGTCCGATAATTCTAATTGCTTACATTATTTGTGAGTATGATTACTTATACATTTAAAATGCAATTTAAGCAGTTTCCTTGTATGGTCTTATTTCTCTTTTCTCTGAGAACACTTATTGGAATCTTGTTTTGTTGAATGTGAGTGAGAGACCATTCCATGAACTGTTTTAGAGCCAGAATTGGAGAAAAAGTATGGAACGGTTCTTCAGAGAAACATCAGAACACAGAAGTTAATAGAAGTTAAAATTTAAACTCATACAGTTAAATTATAATCAAAATAGTGCCTGACAGTTATTTTGTTGAGTAGGTGCAAGGTAGGCAAAGAAGGATGAGATGCTTTAACATTTGGACAAAAACTACTTGGGGAGGATAACTGTACTATGCAATTAGAGAGGCTGAAAAGGAACAAAACAATAGAAACAAAATTATGAATCCTAAACAGTGATACTCTCATACATATGCCAGTGTTGGCTGACCCCTTTTTTGAGTGTGTCTGCGGATTGTACTTGCAGGTATAGTCATTCTAATTGACTTTTTTCAGTAGGTGCAGTGGCTCTATAATATTGTTTCCTATGTGTGCATTCTGTTAACCTTTTTATACATTTAGAAGGAGGGATGAGTTAGGGGGATTCCATAATCAAATAAGTTTGGGAAACTATTTGAATTCAATGAAATTAAACAAGTTTCTTTGGAGATACTTTTTGGAGCCTTTAATATCCTTTAATATGCTAATGTGTGCTGTGACACTCCTGGGGACATGCGATATGCCGTATTTGTCTTACTTTTTGGACCAATATCTCGTCAGTCAACTTCCTGCAGGGCACCAGTGCTCTGGAGCACAGTTGAGAAATGTAACCTTAGAAGGATTTCTTCCCCCCGCCCCCCACCCACTTTGTGTCTCTGGTGAATCGTAACACAGTGAAATTAAAACAACCAGGTGTAGATAAAGGTTGGAGGAAGGCCTCACAGGTAAGGCTGCGTCCTAAATGTATGATCACTGCATTGAAGTAATCATTACTGATGCCTGTTAGAGTGCTTACTGTGTGCCAAGCACAAAGCACTCAGATGTATTCACTAATTTAATGCTTCTGGCAGGTCAGTGCAGTGGCTATGACCATTATCCCTGTTTGTAGATAAGAAGGCTAATAACCAGAGGGCTTAAATAACTTGCCCAACTTAGACTACCAGAACGTGGTGCAGCCAGGATATGAACTTGGGTTTAGGAGCCCAGTGTTCTTTCTTTCTCTGATGCTCGGCCTCGGGGCTTGAGTGTCATTTGTATGCTGTGGTGGAGTGGGGAGTGGTGTTCCTGGATGAGTGGAGAGCATGACAGTGTGAAGTAATGAGTTTTGTGTAGCTGGAGATCCTGGTTGGAAATGGTTTCATGAAAATGTGCAGGTACAGATCCTGAGGCCTCGTCTGTCACACAAAGGAATTGGGGATTTCTGTAACGGCACCACCCACTCTTCCCATCAGGTTACCTCAACAACTTTAGTAAGCAAATTGCTTCTGTGAAAACAGTGCAGACACTTAGGGGGAAGGCTAGGAATGCACACTTCTGCATTTTGTAGGTGGCCTACTTATCACTGACTTCCTGCCATCCTAGCTGGCTGCGTTGTGGCACCTATACGGAGCACAGGCAGTAGACACAGGAGTCTAACAGGTTATGCTTGAGTTGAACATAATCCAAGGGATAATGTGAGATGGCACTCTCTCCCTCTCCCCACACTTCGGCAGTTTTTGAGGTCATGTTTTGTATGCCTTCTGGAAGGGGACTGAATACTAGTAGAATGTAACTCAAGGAGATGGCTTTATGGATCTCATAAATATTTAATGAGGTTTTACGATCTTGTTTAAGGCTTGATTAAAGAGGTAAAAGTGGTGCTGCCCGCCCTGCCTTCTAATTAGACTTAACATGTTAGTTGTTTTTTAATTAAATAGTATTAAAATATATAAGTATTTCCTATGATCCAAATATCTTTGGCTCCTGAGTTTGAACTTAGTGAGTAGTGAAGGTTTGGATAGCAAGACATTTATCTGACAGTTTATCAGAATCTTTTTGGTTGCTGGGTTTGGATTTAGAGAGCAAAGGATATTTAGATTGGAAACCCAGTGAAGACCTTACACATTCTCCTTTTGTCCACCCTCAGAGGAACTGAGAGTGCCTCTGTGGCTGGATAGAGTTTTCCTTGTTAAGAAAGGGCAAGATTGTGACTTAATTAAGGTCATGGAGCAGGTCGTTGTAAGAACAGGACTAGAAAGAAGGGAAATCATCTGGGTCCAGGAATCTTGCCACAAAGCTGCATGTACCCTAACCAGTTAGGGTCTGTCAGCACTTCTTACAGTGCTCTGCAAAGTGAACAGGAGACCCCAGGACTTGGTAGCAACTAGGGGGCCCATGACTAACTGCCTGCCTGGGGAATCCAGGACTTGACATAGACAGGATTTGTACGTAGAGCTGAGTATGTTTCTGATACCTTTGCCATGAAAAATCTCTATAGTAGGAAGATTTAAACTTAATTCCAGGCAGATTTTTAACTTGATCAACATTCTATTTTGAAGAAATGTTGTCTGACCCCAGTTCACATTTTTTATGTCCACATTTTGCTTCTGTGGATAATTGTCTTGCCTTGGTTACTTGCTCCTTACCTTGAATCCTCTTTACATTCCACAACGAGCACTCACGGGTAGGGGAGCGGGGAGCAGATGTTGCAGGACATGTGCAGAGAGTGAGAAAGGGAAGAGTCATCTTGGATCAGGGCCCTCCAGGCCTGCGAGTCCCTGCTGTGGCCCCACAAGCCAAGACTTGGCCCTGGGTCATGTGTCAGATGCATCAGTCAGCAGTGAAGGCAGGAAGAGCGGTGTGTGCACGTGCGTCAACGGGATTTCATATTTCTTTTTTCTTCTTTTAAAATGTACTTGCTTATAAATTGCATTCATGTACTGCTGTACTTACATGTTATGAAAATTATAAAACATAAGATTTGATATTGGAAAGGGTAAGATAAAAATAAATATATATATTTTCCTAATATTTTCTCCTTTTTATTTTATTTTAAATTATAGTTTACATTCAATGTTTTTTGTATTAGTCTCAGTTGTACCACATTTGATTTTTCCTTTTATTTTATATCAGTTTTAAAATTTTTCAATTAAAGCTGACACGCAGCAGTATATCAGTTTCAGGTGTACACCCCAGTGATTAGACATTATATAACTTACTAAGTGGTCATCCCCATAAACCTCGCACCCATCGTACACTATACATAGTTAATTAGAATGTTACTGACTGTATTCCCTATGCTGTACTTCACGTCCCCATGATGACTTTTCTTTTTAAACAATTTCATTGGAGTAGCTCACAGAGGCTAATATTCATTCACCTTTGTGCCTGGCCTAACTTTGTCCTGTCTGTCCTTAGGTGGGTTTGCCGAGTTCTCCCGTTGTTTCCCTGGCCTCTGTGAAGGAAAATCCACCCTGGTTCCTACATGCATTTCTCAGCCTTGCTTACCTGTTGCCAACATTGGGCCAACGCGAATTCTTCCCAATCTTTATCTTGGCTGCCAGCGAGATGTCCTCAACAAGGTGGGTGCTTTGAAAATGTCCTTCATTTCAGGATTTATTGTTAATAGCTGGAAAAATAACGATCACTTGTCCGCTGTCATTTCAAACACACCTGGCTCCCAGGAAGAATGTTCACTGTCCTCAGGGTGACTCCCTGGTGAGCACTTGCATTGTCTTTTGGAGCGCTGTTTTGTTTGGTTGTAATAATGGCGACAGGAAACCTAAACTGTTGTCATATCTGCTTGCTCCTCATAGGTCCAAGAGACCTAGAATAGGATAGGATTTTTCAGAAGTTTAGCCTTATTTTCTTAGTGTATTCATTGTTCTATTTTAATTGGGCACACTCAGGAAGGCTCATGCTTCCCAACCTCATGCTAATAAATGTATTTGTTTACAGCAGCACACTGGAAAGGGACTGGGGTTGGGTCTGGATTGAGGACAGACTTCCTGCGGCTTGCTGGCTGGAGGGGAGGGGCAGCAGTAAAAAGACAATCAGGACAGGGATAAGAGTGTGCACTGCAGGCCACACTGTCGGAAGCTCATTGGAGCAGTTTGGTTGAGAAAGAAGAGGGAACAGCATGGATTCTGGCTGGAAGGGACATGGGCTATACAAGGTATGCGCAGCAGAGGACCCTGGTTGTTGAGGCTGTTGTTGTGTGTGACGGTACAAGCATGACAATAGTAGGAGAACTGAAATCTTTCTGCTTCCCTAGCTCATATCCTCTTAACCAGTCATGCTAGAAAACAATGCTCTCAGTGCCCAGAAAGGTGGTTTTTCTTTAAAAACTCTAATTTATATCACCTTTAGTTGAAAAAGCAATCAAAGATATTAATTCAGCTGTTGGTGATTTACAAGTGCTGCTTTCCTAGACGAAGGCAGCACCTTAACATTTTCTCCTTGAAGAACTGAAAGAATTGTGCTGGCTGTAAAAGAAGCGTCCCCATTGGCTTGTTCTCGCAAGGGGGAAGCCAGCTTTTCAGGGGGTGGGGGATGGGAAGAATACTCTATCACTGAGATGCAGTGAGGCATTCATATTTTTTTCTTTTTTGTTCTCAAAACTTCTGCCTTGACGCCGTTGTTAATATATCAGCTCTTACCTCGGGAGCTGCTTGGTTGAAATGTGATAGCTTAAGCTTGTAGGAGTCTTTCTGGTGAGGTCACCTTTGAGCATGTGATGATTATTAATTCTCTTTTAGAGATAAGCAAACTATGTCACAGAAAGCAAAATTGATTTCTAAAAGTCACATGCCTCCCTCGGGCAAAGCTGGAGATACTTTAATCCTCAGATCAGAAAATAAGCTAAAATTCCTAGCTAGGGATCCTGTGCACAGTTACCCCAGTAAAACTTAACCAGTCAGCCAGGATGCAAGTTCACAAATATTGTTACAGGTCATTTTGGTTACGTTTAACATGAAATTAAATGGCACATTCATTTTGCTACATACCTTTTGCAAATGTGTCAGTTAACCTTATGAGTGCCCTCAAGGTGAGAGCAGTTAAACCTGAACCTGGAGTTGAGGGAGACCATTTACCAAAGTGGGCACATACATAGATGCATTGGGAAGAAGAGGTTGTGGGGGAAGAATGAGTTTGTGGCAGTTCATGGGTGAAAGAACTTGGGCAAGGAGCTATTATGGAATGTTGTCAGAAAGCTTCTTTATTAGAACATGTAGGCTGGGGGATAGTGAAAAATAGGAATGCACTGGTAGGCTGGACAGCTGTGAAACTGATACATGGAAAATTTACACCCAACCTCCAGATTCAGTGTTGAGAAGAATCTTAGTGATAGAGGATTTCGGAGATCATTTACTCATCCGTCATTCTGTAAATGAGGAAATCAGTATTCCAGAGATGTCAGATGAATTTCCTGATGATGAGTTTTGGAAACAGATTGGCCTCTCTCTCACAGATAGCATAAACTGATCTTCCTGCTCAGCTCTCTGCTCTCTGACTTAAACTTCCCAGGAAAATAATATGCTTCTTCAAGTTCTTCAAAGATGAAGATTTTATAATCTTCCCTAATAGTACATTCCTTTTGATTAAAATCTAGAAGCTAAAATCTTTAAAAACAACACCCACAAGACCACTAATTTTATTAGTCCTTTAAAAAAAAAAAAGCCCTGTCTGGTGTGGATCGAGTGCCAACCTGTGAAACACTAGGACGTTGCCAGTTTGATTCCCGGTCAGGGCACATGCTTGGGCTATGGGCCAGGTCCCCAGTTGAGGGCACACAAGAGGCAACCACACAATGACATGTCTCTGTCTCTCTTTCTCCCTCCCTTCCCCCTCTCTCTAAAAATAAATAAATAAAATCTTTAAAAAAATAAAGTGACACCAAAATATGTTAACAGAAATTTCCTTGGGAGGATTGTAATACTTACCATTTAAAATGCTAGCCTCTTTATATTAATGCATTTAGCCCTCATAATAGCATTAGGAGATAGGTTGGCCCAGAGTTAAGTCATTTACCCAAGACACTGTGGCTAGGAAGTCCTTGACTTCAAAGCTGGTGAGTGACAGAGATTAGACTCAAAACCAGGCCTAATCTGGCTTTAAGTCCTGTGCTTCTGTGAAACCAGAAGCGCCCATCTTCTGGAAAGAGGAGCTTTTTAGAATAAGCTGTTGTGAAGGACTAAGAAATTTTAACAGTCTATTGAATCACAACTGAGATTTTTGTTCCCTTTTTCCATATCATTTTTTTTTTTTTTAGATTTTATTTATTTTCCGAGAGAGGGGAGGGGAAGGAGAAAGAGAGGGAAAGAAACATTGTTCAGTTGCCTCTTGCGCACCCCAACCGGGGACCTGGTCCGCAACCCAGGCATTTGCCCTGATTGGGAATTGAACCTGCCACCCTTCAGTTCGCAGGCTGATGATGCTCAATCCACTGAGCCACACTAGCCAGGGCTCCATATCATATTTTATACCAGCACTGTCAAAGAGAAATATAACGCAAGCCACATAGGTGACTTCAAATTTTCCAGTAGCCTTCGTAAGCAAGTAAAAGGAAACAGGTGGAATTAATTTTAATAACATTTCATGTATCGCAACATATTTAGAATATTATTTTCTCATGTAATCAACATAAGAATTATTGAATTATTTTACATTTTTTGTTGCAAGTCTTTGAAACCTGGTGTGTACTTGATAGTTACTGCACATCTCAGTGTGGATGAGCCACATCTCAGGTGCTCAGCAGCCATGTGAGGCTTGTGGCTACCACCCTGGACAGTGCAGGCCAATACTCCCCTTGTGTACTAGTTTTTACTTATGTTTCCAAGACATGGCTGTGTGTAAAAGGCCATAGGAAGTCACTGATAGCAAAAAGAACACTTTTATTTTCTGTTTCCCTCACAACTGTACTTTTGTTTCTCAGCCTGCTCTTTGTCCTCTAGCCTTTGTACTCGAGCTGGAACAGGAACAGCTTATTCCCCTGCAAGTGGTTTGCTGGTGCCCAGTTCACATCAGAACTGAGTGGGGTTTGAGCAAGAATTTCTAGTTACTATGTGAAAGACCAAAGTTTTTGATCGGTTTTCTCCCTTATCACTTAAAATTTCAAATAGGGACTTTTGTTTCACACTTAAATACACAAAGTGTATGATGGAATTACCCATTTTGAGTAGTGACCGAGCCAGAACTGGATCTGGTGAGCCACTCCAGCCTCCTCGCTCAAGTAGTTCTGCGGATCCCCTTTCCCCATTGTAAACAGTGTGCTGCCGGTGCTCTTTGCGTAGCTTCTGGTTTCAGTCTCTTAGCCTGAAATTTTGCTCCTGCAAAATTGGCATCACTGTGCTGCCTTACCGGTCTGCCCGCCACAGGGACTACTGCTTCTTTCTCTGTCGTTTTCTTATAAGAGTTAGGCAGTTGCCTAGACACAGTATATGCTGCTTTCAGGGTTTCCCTGTGACCTAGGAAGTCAAAGGTCCTCAAAATTATCGATAAAAATACAGCCTTTATTCAGTGTCTACTGTGTATAGAATACCACACAGTGCACAAATTGGTTAGACCGGACGTGTTCACTGAGCAGCAGTTCACAGGACGGGGTGATTGACGGTCTAACTCCCGACACTGAGGCAGCGTGGCAGCGTAGTGGCTGGGAGCCGGAGTGGGCAGTGTTGCATCCCAGGGCTCCACCTTACCGGCCATATCACTCTAGCCACGTTACCGAATCTTGGTTTTTTCACCTGCAAACCGTAATGATGCCTGCCTCTCAGTGTTCACGTGAGGTTCAGATGAAATGACATATGCCAAGCACCAAGTCCAGTGCCTGGTTTCTAGGGATACTCATTACTGGCATCACAAGGTGGACTGTACCAAAATGTAGGGTAAGTGGTACAGACATACCGTGAGTGTGGTTGGTTGAGGAAGGCCAGGTGGAGGAATTAGGAGTTAAGGTCACTTTTGAAGGCAAAAGGAGTGGTAAATGCAAAATCATTCATTGAATTGACTTCCAAAAGAAAAATTACAATTCCATTATCTAGAGTTGCAGTGCCTGTGGTGATTTTACAGGATCTCTGTTTTCAGCATAGCTGGACATGGGAGGCTTGACCAAATACAGCAGTTTTATTAGGGCTGTATATTAATCTGTATTCCGTGTGTTACTCCACAGTGTACATCAACAGATCATAGAGTCCATATTTAAAAATCAGTTCAACTACAGGGGAAAGTGTATTTAGGTTTAGGAGAAAGAAACTTAATGGGAAAAATAGTGCATGAAAATCATAATAAAATTAAGACTTATTTTTGATTCACAGATATTATTTTTAAAAGTTTTCTTAATTGTATATTGAAACCAGAATCCATTTTTAAACAATGTTAGGGCATAATCTATTGTACCTTGCCACATGGAGCCTTTTTTATTTCCAGCTTGCTATGTTCAGTGTAATTTCCCTACTTACGGCCAGTTAGGAGAGAGGACAGTTTGAATTAGTGAAAAATATACATTATAGGCTTTCGGGGGGAATTAGTGAAAAATATACATTATAACAGCTTTACTGAGTATAATTCATATACCATATGATTTCTAAGCTTTTTAATTGAAATATAACTGGCACATAACATTGTATATCACCTGTTTTACAGGTGAGGAAGCTAAAGCTGAGGGAGGTTAGGTAATATTCAGTTGTGTATGTTTTACACAATGTACTGGAACAACTGAATGAATAACATAAATATCTTCAGAATTTATCAAGAAGTCATTGAGATCCATCTATGAATAAAAGCAACCACTATTTTATAACATAGTTAGACCCATTCTTCATAACTGTGGCGCCGACGCAGTTCCATTGTCGGAAACGTTGACGGAGATGCCCTCTCAGCCACTTGTGTGCACGTGAGGACAATCGGGAGATGGAGTGAGCAGGAACAGTTATGTGAAACTTCAGCAGGAACCGTAACTGACTTCCGAGCCGCTCGCCGCCTCTGCCCTGATGCCCTCTGCGGTCGAGCACCCGTCTAAGGGCGCACGGGGCTCCTGGCTGCAGCACGTCCACCATCACCGCTGCCAGAGGGAGTTGTGTTTGTTCTCAAACCTGTTTAGGCCAGTGCGCTTGTTTTTACAATTATGTACATTCATTAAAGTATTACCTACACCAGTGAAATATGAATGCGGGAAGAGAGTTGTTTTTCTGTGACCTAAGTGAAATGTTTTCAAAAGGTTCAGGAAGGACACATTGCATTACATTTTTTTTCTGTCTAACTTAGGTAGGAGGAAGGCAACTATAAAATATTTAGGAGACAGTTACGATCTAGAAAGATTCTGTTCTGATATCATTTCACAAGTTCTTGACCATTAGAGAAATGGAAATATACGTGGTAGATGCATGTGGTTGTGACTTGCCTATGAATGCCAGTCAGCAAACCCGTGAAAATAAAAGCCATGCTCCCTCCTGCACCAGAAGTTAGCAGATTAATGCACTATTTTGGTTTTGAGTTAAAATGTTTCAAGTACATATATGTCATTTTCTCCTTTAACTGACTTTTTCCACAGATGTAGTAATTACAAATCCAGATGAGAGAGTACATATTTGTGGTATTTAATTCAGTAGCCAAATCATAGTTTATATGGTGACATTTTAGAATTTTTGTTTGCTTTTTTGTTTTTAAAATTGACTGTGTTTTATTAAGTCCCATGTTATTACAAAAAGAATTTTCAGGTACCACCTGGATACATTGATTTAGCAAATAGTTCTCTGAAAGTAAAATTTTTATAAATCAAGTAAAATTATTCCATTTCTTTCTCATTTTGTTTCAATTATTATCACTCCATTTCAACACTTCAATGTCTCTTTCCCTACCCCTTTGCCATTTACATAAAATAAAGCTAGTATTTAAATGCATCTTTTATAGTACCTTGCTTTATAAGTGAAGAATACTTTTGAGATAGAAACAGTGTTATAAGCTTGGATTATTGATGTTTCTTAAATTAGGTCAGGACTGCCCCCTCCACGTTTGCTGCCTGTGCGGCGTCACAGTGCAGCGTGGCGGTGGCAGCAGGCAGTGTGAGGCCAGGGAACGTGTGCTTGGTAACCGTCCCCAGCCTGCCACAGCAGCTCTCCAAGTACACGTGGCAGAAAGGCCAGCTCTGTGGTGCCTGCTGCCTGCAGGAGAGGCGACAGTTGGGGGTGGGGGATAAGACTCAGATAAGTCTCCTCAGATAGACACCTGGTGTTGAGTCAGTCTTGCCTGACCCTGTTCTTACGTGGGAGATACGGTAGTGGGTGATCTCAGCGTAGAAAAGCAGACGTGACCTTTGCTACAAGCACAGAGTTTAAAAGCTGTAGTAGTAAACACCATTAAGGTCTTCGCCACCTGATTATTAGTCTCACAGAAACCTCCAAGGCAATCAGAGGACTGGGGCTTGGGCACAGCTACAGGTCGGTCACTGTCAGAAGCTCCCCTAGTTCCAAAGGCTATTTCTTGACCTTGCCATCTCACAGTGGAGATGGGGTTGCATCTTATCTATAATAAAGTCTACTTATTGTGCCATATGTGGCAGATGAAGGGATTGGGGAATTGGCAAGTTTTAGGAGGGTAAAAAAGGAAGAAAATTACTGTCTTTCAGGTCTCTGGAAAAGGTTTATAGAGGAGGCAGCATTACAAGAACAGGAAGAAGTGACCAGAGTTGCTTTAAGAGAATTATTTCAGGTTTAGAACACTTCCTGAGAGGCAGCAATGGATGACTAAATGCAGCGGGTCGTGGAGGCTTGCCTGGGAGATGGTAGACGGGCGTAGCTGAAGAAACACGTATTGAACGCAGCTGTGTGCCTGGTGCTGAAGGTAGAAAAACAAGCAAGAATCAGTCCAAGAGCTCATACTTCACTGCTTAATAGCGCAGACGAGAATTATCTGCTAATTATAACATAGTATGCTACATGCTTTGCTAATAGTGTGAACAGAGTGCTTTGGAGGGACAGAGAATGCACTGGTTAATTATGAGCAGCGGGGAAGAGTTCACAGCGAGGTGAACTTAGAGCAGAAGAGGAACAGGACCTGCTAAGCACCGGAGCAGCGAGAGCAGCAGCACGGAGGGCGCGTGTCCATGCGACGCTGGGGGAGTTGGAGGTTGTGTGGACCTGATGAAATCCAAAGTGTGGATGAAGCACTCAGCCCTGTTAATTAGCCCTGTTAACTGTGCTCGTATGCTATTAGTCATTTTAATTACTCTTTCCCTCCACAGGAGCTGATGCAACAGAATGGGATTGGTTACGTGTTAAACGCCAGCAATACCTGCCCGAAGCCTGACTTCATCCCCGAGTCTCACTTCCTGCGAGTGCCTGTGAATGACAGCTTCTGTGAGAAAATCTTGCCGTGGTTGGACAGATCTGTTGATTTCATTGGTAAGCAGCTCAAGTAATGTTAGAAGTCCTCTGGTGTAGGTGTGCCCTCTCCCTCCCTCCCTCCCTCCCTCTCCCTTTCTTTAGAGAAGGAAGCCTGTTTCAGAGACATCAAAAGTCTGAGACAACACACGATGCTGCTCATCTCATCTAGTGGCCAGGGCGACATGTGCGTGCCACACGCTCCCCAGGGCACTGGCCATGTGACATTCTAGCTGACTGAACACTGCCCAGGTTAAGCCTGATAGGACCTGTGGTCGGGTGTCTGCAAGTGTTCAGAAATCAGACTTTCGGGGTTCCATCTCTCACCCACTTTTTCAAGTCCTGTAGAATACTTTGGAAACTTGGGTGGCTTTCCTTAAACTGTTTTGCCTTGCTGCTGTGTTTTTCCCAGAGAAAAGTCAAATCCTGTTACATTCAAAGTTGTTGTGTCACAGATTTCTGAGCCTTAGTCCATGTGCCAGTAATTTCAAGTAGTGGTGGATCTAGTAAAATTCTCTCGCACTCACACACACACTCACACACACCCTGTTGCTCATTTCTTTGGTGTTAGTTGTGACACGATCTGACTGGTGCCATGATGTCAGTCCTGGAGCCACTCCACCCCCGGCCCGACTCGCAGCTTCAGGTGCTGTCGTGCCATGTCGGTGCCGCAGGGTCCAGCCTGCTGCAGTCAGTTGGTGCTGTGTGTTTGCAGTGTGGTATTGGGGGGAGTGGGGAACAGAGGAGAGACATTGCTGCTCTTGAGTAGCGTAACAGGGTCGACTCTCAGTGTTCCACATGAGGAGTTTTTGCTCCTCCCCCACAAGGCACACAAATTTGAACGCTATGTAATTAAATACTCTGAGTTGGTTAACTGCGATCTTTTAAAAAAGAACTAATTCCTTTTAAAAAGTGAAATTATGTAAATTAAGACTCTCACTATATATACTTGCATCTGCGAGGGAAATTTTTTATTTTTAAAAGGTTTATTTATTTTTTAGAGAAGGGAAGGGAGGGGGAGAAACATCAATGTGTGGTTGCCTCTTATGCACTCCCAGCGACCCTTTGGTGCTCAGTCAGCTGAGCCACACCAGTCAGGGCTTCGAGGGGAATTTTTGAGATAATGTTTTTAGAACTTTATGTATTTCTGAAATAGTTCTCTTTTTTTAAGATTCCAGATTGCCAAGAGTTTTCATCTTTTTAAAAAATTTTTTATTTATTTTAGAGAGAAAGGAACTGGGGAGAAACATCAATTTGTTGTTCCATTTATTTATGATGCATTCATTGCTTGCTTTTGTGTATGTGCCCTGATGGAGATCGAACCACAGCCTCGGAGTTCTGGGACGATGCTCTAACCAACAGAGCTACCCAGCCAGGGCCGAAGAATTTTCATCTTTAATTAGGATGCATCTGTGAAACATCTTAAGATAAATAGCTTAGCTATTTCACATTTAAATAATCACAAACAAAACTCCTAAAATGAATCCCCCATTGTACTTGTAGGAAATACTCAGCATATCATTTAGTTTTTGCCTCTTTAAAAGATAACAGTTATGATTAATGTGCTCATTGCCCATGGCATTGATCCAGAGACATTTGGCTCTGATCTCAGCTCAAAAGTGCAATTTCAGAATCTATTTCAGAGAACCTGATCACATTAAGTCGTGACAACGTCTGAGCTTATGGAGCATTAATTGAAGAGAGAATGTGAATAGCTTTGCCCTCGACTTATTTTCTTCTTTCATGGGAGATGCTGGTGTCATCCTGCCACTTTTAATTCATCCAAAAGGAACTTTACTGTGTTCCCAGTTGGTGAAACACACACACACACACACACACACACACACACACACACGGTAATTTATTTGTAGTATCTGAAAATATTTTCACTTGCTTGACACTGTGTACTAAGGCCACCATCCTCATCCCGTCGAGAATTCAGGGAGAATTCTCCAGCCCAATATAGGAATCGGGCCCTTGTTCACTATGGCTGCTAGGCAGGGTGTTTTGAAGCCATGATCCATCATGGCAGAATATATAATTAGGAGGCATGCCCTTGTGCCAGGAGTTAGTAACTTGTAGACTCCTAGGTTTTTTATTATTTAAATTTCAGTAAGTTTCTGGGCTTCTTGAGAGGGCTCAGATTTTTGTGGAGCTGGCCTTTACTTGTAGTTAATGAAGGCAGCAGTGAGTGTGGTTCGCCTGTCCATGCTGGGGGGATTCATGGGGCGCCCCCAGGCCCAGCCAGCCTCCTGCACTGCCTCTGGCTCCCTCCTCACTTGGCACCGCCCCACCTCACCCACACCAAACTCATGACTTTGCATGGAGGTGAATAGCATGTGCTTCTGAGCCAAACTGTATTTTAGTCCTGCCTTAAGTGATTTTGGGTAAGTTACTTAAAACTTCTCTGTTCCTCAGTTTCCTGAGCTGGAAACTGAAGATAATGTATCTACCTCATAGAGATATCGTGAGGATTAAAATAGATAGTGTATGTAAAATACCTTGCAAAGTGCCTGGCTAATAAATAGTAGCTATTTTAAAAATTATTATGAGTCCTTTTTTCTTAGAGCTGTACTCTGTAACCTTCATTATTGCTACCTTCTTGTTAGCCTTTGAAACTTGGTGCCCTCACTGGTTCCCCCTTACCCTTTACATCTGTCATTTTCTCAGCCTTTGTTAACTGATTTCACCCCTGAATTGCTGTGGTTGTCACCGGCTTTTCTAAGATTGCCCGTCTCCACCCTCAATGTCATCTTGTTCCTCATTCAGGAAAGTGCAGAGGCTCCTGAACTGCCCCAGAGTCCTTAGCCTACAGACCCAGACCCTCCAGCACCTGCCCCCTCCTGCGAAACCTCTTCTCTGGTTACTTCCTGCGCAGCTTGTGAGCACCAGCCACTGCAGACTGTTTCGGGGCAGTTTGTCCCCATAGCGCTTTCCTGCACACATTTCCCTCCTCCCTGCCGGGTCTGCGTGTATTACTTCCTATGCTTTAAGGTTCAGTTTAGCATTCAGTCCTGCCAAGAAATATGTGGTAATGAACCCCACTCTGGTATAATCACTTTTTTAAAAATACGTCCTCAAAAGAGTTGTAAAAACTGTGATGTGCAAGAAATTTGTAAAACAGGGAAAAATGAAACCTATAACCTCAATATCCTAACACATCTGTTACCATGATTTTTAAAATATTTTTCCAACCTTTTTCAAATTTTTTAAAATAAAGATTGCTTTTTAAATGTATATCAGTTAGCCAGCCAGTATTTACCATGTGACCAGTGTTAAGTCCTTTGCGGGGAATTTTAGAAACAAGACCCTCTAGGTCCTTGTAATCTAGTTTTGAGATAATTATTTAAAATAATGAGAGAATATTGTCAACATTAAAAAATAATTTTAAACCCAGGCTACTTCCAATGAGAATTTAAAGCAGCTTACAGTAAGAGATTGAGATGAAAAAATACACATATTCACAGAAGTACACATTAAAATGGAAGAAAAGGGCAGGAACCAAGTAATAAGAGGTATAGTGAAGTCTGAATTACAGTTACCTGCTGAAAAGCTTAGCTTTGAGCTTCTTAGCGGCCAAGGTGAAGGGGAAATCCTAAGAGCAGTGTAGGCTAAATAACCACTGTACAGCTGAGAGAAGGAAGAGAACTGTGCAGGCCCAGGAAGGCACAGGACTTTAGAACATGGGTTTGTGTGATAGGTTATATAGTACCTACTAGTGTCAGTGTTGCTCTGTATTCCTTTGTTTTATCGTGTCTAATTTCTCTATTTAAAGGGAAGCTGCTTGGTTGTTCACATACTATTCAAAACCCCTGTAGTGCTTTGTACATAATGAATAATCGTATACATTAGAGATTTGTAATATTTATAACAGGTGGTAAGATTGGAGTAGCCTTGCATTATTCAGCTGTGAGGGCCCATTCCTTGGATATCTGTTAATCACAAGAAGTTTAATGTAAGGTTGGTACACGTTCGGTAGTATGCACTAAAGCAGGAATGAAAAGGGAAGAATTGAGCTCCGGGGCAGCAGCTCACGGCAAGCACACATGTAGTCATTTAGTGTCGAGGCAGTCACAGTGCTGGTACAGTGTCTGCTGCCTCCAGGCTGTGTGGGATCATTCCACCCACTCCCACAAGAAGGCTGCTGAAGCTCCTCAGCAGTGAGAGATGGCAGTGCTGTCTGCTGAATTGCCTTGGTTCTTGGCTCTGACGAGTGCCCGAGAGTCATTCCGCCACGTTATGGGTGTGAAGATCATGTAATCAGACAGTAACTCCTGGATCTCAGGGAAGGGGTAACACTTCTCTTGGTCTTCACTTAAGTGACATTCTAAGCCTGATTTATAGTATGTTTTGGTTTTCTTCTTAAATTCAGCAAATAAAGTTAAGCCACTTTATGACATATAGAAAAGTCTCCTGATGAAAAACAGGGATACTACAGGTTCTACGAGTCAGCATTTTAAAAGTGGCTTGACCTGGCATCTTTTTGTGTTCTGAAGTGACACCACTGTGACTAAGTCTGTCTGCCTCCCTGCTATTGAAAGAGTAATGTATGTCACATGTTTGAAATGAAGAATATTTAGAAAAACTTAATATCTCATATCAAATTATTATGTTGTACACCTATGTCAGCTATATCTAAAAACTGGGAAAAATGCATTATCTCTTAACTAGAAAAAAGTTGAAGTGACAGTCAGCATGAGTAAACAAGTATTAGGTAAATGTTAAGATTTTGGATGTTATTTCCTTTACATTTTTCTGTACTTCTGAATTTTTCTACACTAAACAAATAGAATCATGTAATCATAATATAGGATGTATACTCTGGGAAAGTTATCAACACAACGCAAAAAATACATGATGGACAGTACTGCGTAAGAGTCAGTCAACCTGAGTTAGGGGCAGACTGCTTATTGACATGGTTGGACCTTCACTGTCCTAGATGTAAACAGTGAGGAGATCATCTCCCCCTTCCTCCTTAAAAGAATATTGACAGGGAATACCTGTAAATACATGAGGCGTACTTTGGAGTTGTCAGATGAAAGACACTGACCCTTTTTGAATCTGACTCATACAGAAAAAGCAAAAGCCTCCAACGGATGTGTCCTGGTGCACTGCTTGGCGGGGATCTCTCGCTCTGCCACCATCGCCATTGCCTACATCATGAAGCGGATGGACATGTCCTTGGATGAAGCTTACAGGTGAGGACAGGAGCATGTCCTGTGTGGCTGCCTCCCCACAGGCCCTGAAACATGGTGAGATGTGAGGGGGTGGTAACCAAATTAAAGCTGATCATGCTTATTCTGGTTATGCTCTTTACAGGGGACTGGGTTTTTAAATGTCTTTCCAAAGATTGGAGAAGGATGCATTTTTATAATTTAGCATGAATTCTCTGACATGTGTCAGGTGTGTCCTCAGCTACTTTGTATGTTTCAGGAACAGCAAATCCAAACAGATCTCTATCCTGTTATGTGAATTTATATATTTTCCTAATTGGGAATTATATCATTTATTCTAATTAAATATGAGGGAAAAAAGCTCCGGGCAACTACTCATAGAATTTCTACTTTGCTTCCAACTTCGTCATTTTCATTGTAAGGAAGGAGTCTAACCCATGCAGATATCTCCAGACTAACACTTGTCAGACCTCTTTCACTGTGAAAGTCTCGTACTTCTGGAGTTGCCCAGATTTTGCAGTGTGTGATTTTGACTGAGTTCTCCCTCCCCACTTTGTCAGAATGGAGGGCAAGCAGGTGACAACAGCCTGCCAAGGACTGGGGTTTTCTTTTGTAACTGGAGAATCTGGGTTCTCTGCGTGTCTTATTGGATAGAGGTGGTTAGTCTTCATGTGATTAGGAATTAATAAATAGAGATGCATGAAGCTGGCCTGTTTAGGGACTTTTTTCTTTCAAATTGGGAAAAACAGAAATGAGCTGCCTGAGCAGCTTCCGTTTGAGGAAGCAGGTGGAGGAGTTGGGTCCTCCCTGTGTCTGCATTAGCCCTGTCACCCTTCCTTCAGGCTCTTCTTTCTCCCCGTGTTCCTCGCGCGACGCAGAAGCCAGGAGGAAAGGCACCCTTATGTCAAGTACAGTCTTATGATGAGGACTCCACGTTCATACTTGTTACAGTTGAGCCAGTCATTTCTAGCTTTGTTAAGTTGCTTTAAGTTACTTGATATACAAGGAAATTATTTTTTATTTTTCTCTTTACTTATTCAAATGTAAATTTTCCATGTAGTTTCACTCCTGCATCTTCTGAAGAGTATCCATGAGGGCCAGGGGTCGCTAGGGTGTATCTATTATCTCTTAAGTGTCTTTATTTCTGCAGTGAAACATAACAGCTGTTTATTGCTAATGTTGATTGATGAATCTTCTTTAACATGATGGTGACAAAAACAGACCTTAGACCTGGTTTTGAGTCCCAGTGCCACAGCACTTAGTAGCTGTGTGATTTGGGGCAAGTCACTTAAGGACTTCGGTCCCCATATGATGGGGATAATTATACCGACCTGACATAGCCTGGTTTGAGAACTGAATGAGATAATACTCTTACTTGATTTAAAGCATTAGCATAGTGCTAAGGCACACCCAGACAGGCCACTGTAGCTGTCATGTGGGGACAGTAAAGAGAAGGAACTTGGAAATGTGTGCTCCGATGCTCTGGCCATCTTTTTTGGTCATTAATTTGAAATGTGAAGTGTCTTGAGGCACTTTGGGGACTGTGAGAAGGCGTGATGGGAAATCAAAGGTGAAAAGGAGCTGCTACACGTGGCGGGGGGCTGGTGGTGAGGAGAGAACCGTTGCATCCATTGCATTGGAAGCTTTAGGTCCTTGAAAATAAGGAGAGTAAAACTAGAGCTTTTGGGGACCTGGCACGCCCCCCCCCCCTTTCTGGCATGTTCCAGGGACATGTTATAAAGCTCTCCCCAATGCAGAGGCTCTTCTGTTCTCTACCTTGAGGTGTCTCCCTAATTAAAACAATGATCTTCCAAAGGTATTTGGGAGGATATGTCTAATAATTCCCTATCATTTATTCACTTAATATTTTTAAGATAAAGAGTAGTCATAAAATTCAAGGGTTTTTTTTTTTTATTTCCTCTCTTCATAGATTTGTGAAAGAAAAGAGACCTACTATATCTCCAAACTTCAACTTTCTGGGCCAACTCCTGGACTACGAGAAGAAAATTAAGAACCAGACTGGAGCATCAGGGCCAAAGAGCAAACTCAAGCTGCTGCACCTGGAGAAGCCGCACGAACCTGTCCCTGCAGCCTCAGAGGGTGGACAGAGAAGCGAGATGTCCCTCAGTCCACCCTGCGCCAACTCTGCTACCTCAGAGGCAGCAGGGCCAAGGCCTGTGCATCCTGCCAGTGTGCCCAGTGCACAGCAATCACTGTTAGAGGACAGCCCACTGGTACAGGCACTCAATGGGCTCCACCTGTCCTCAGACAAGCTGGAAGACAGCAATAAGCTCAAGCGTTCCTTCTCTCTGGATATCAAATCAGTTTCGTACTCAGCCAGTATGGCAGCATCCTTGCATGGTTTCTCCTCGTCGGAAGATACTCTGGACTACTACAAACCTTCCACAACTCTGGATGGGCCCAGCAAGCTATGCCAGTTCTCTCCAGTTGAGGAAGTGTCGGAGCAGACTCCAGAAACCAGCCCAGATAAGGAGGAAGCCAACATCCCTAAGAAGCCGCAGACTACCAGACCTTCAGACAGCCAGAGCAAGCGATTACATTCAGTAAGAACCAGCAGTAGTGGTGCCACCCAAAGGTCCTTTTTGTCTCCCCTTCATCGAAGTGGGAGTGTGGAGGACAACTACCATACCAACTTCCTTTTTGGCCTTTCCACCAGCCAGCAGCACCTCGCAAAGTCTGCCGCTGGACTGGGCCTCAAGGGCTGGCACTCAGATATCTTGGCTCCCCAGACCTCTACCCCTTCCTTGACCAATAGCTGGTATTTTGCCACGGAGTCCTCTCACTTCTACTCCGCCTCAGCCATCTACGGAGGCAATGCCAGTTACTCTGCCTACAGCTGCAGCCAGCTGCCCACGTGCAGTGACCAAGTCTATTCCGTGCGCAGGCGGCAGAAGCCGAGTGACAGAGCTGACTCGCGGCGGAGCTGGCATGAAGAGAGCCCCTTTGAAAAGCAGTTTAAACGCAGAAGCTGCCAGATGGAATTTGGCGAGGGCATCATGTCAGACAACAGGTCGCGGGAAGAGCTGGGGAAAGTGGGCAGCCAGTCTAGCTTCTCAGGCAGCATGGAAATCATTGAGGTCTCCTGAGAAGGAGGACACTTGGGACTTCATTGACAGTTTTTTTCTTGTTCACACACACAAAAAATTCCCTGTAAATCTGAAATATATATATGTACATACATATATATTTTTGGAAAATGGAGCTATGGTGTAAAAGCAAAAGATGGATCAACGCAATTGTTCTCAACATCTGCATTTGAGAGACCAGCTAATATTTCTCTCAAGGCAAGTGGAAGGGCAGATGCTCGAGTTCCCGTAGACAGATAAAACAGTTCCATGCAGTGAATTGCACATCCTCTTGTTCTTACTAAGTCAAGTTTTATTTGGTGTTGGAGGACAAAATCCCCTCCTGTGTTCATGTTGTGCTGCAGAAATCTCCAGTACTAGTCTTTGTCCCTTCCTTCCATAGTGCACCTTAGCGCTGAGACTGAGCCAGCTTGTGGGTCGGGTGGGTAGACCCTACTAGGGACAGAACCTAATGGTAAATCCAAGAGAAATGATCACATCCAAAGCTGATGCACAAATCCAAGATCACTGGACAGCTGAGTGATTCGAGCATCATTCTCCTGTTCAGACCATTAGGGGCCTTGCCAAGATCTACTTTAGAGCAAACCCAGTACCTCAGACAGAAAGTCGGGGCTTTCACCACTACCACATCCGGGAGCCCGTTTTCTCAGCATTGTGAATAGGTTGGTAGCTAGTCACACTTTTCAGACCAATTCAAACTGTCTATGCACAAATTTCCAGTTGGGCCTGGATGGAGGTGGTATTTTCCTTCCTTCTCAGCTTTATGAAGAAAAAGAAGGGAAACCATCTAGGGCTCAATTTAACAGCCAGGAATCTAGCAGGTAATGACTTAAGCTAAGGTTGGGAGGCTAAACAAGTCTGCCTCCCTCTTTATAAATCACAGAATTCTTCAAAATGGGATTGGTAATCCTTTAAATGAAGATTAACTTGCTTTAAAGCCAGATGTGAGTTTATCTGGATTGTGAGCAGAGCAGCAGCACCTTCAAATTCTCAGCCAGAGCAGATGTTTTCCATTTGCTTCATTGCACAGATACATTTTTGTGAAAACAATAAAGTAGACTTTTAAGGGTAGCTACCAAGAGGGAGAAAGATTAAAGAAGTTTGTAAAATTGCTGAGGAGAAGCAGGAAACTTATTTCCCAATGGTTATTTTCCCCTTAGCATGTGATGAGGGTGATACTTCTATAATTTCCTTAGACTTTTAGATTTGCTAAAATCAGGCTGAGAGAGGCTTTAGTGAGCAAGGAATGTTCAAAACCAAACATTAGGAAGGTGAGGAGAAGGTGGTTAAATTTCGTTTCATTGAGAAGAGTGGGAAGCCAGAGCCAAGCTCTTCTCAGAAAGTACACTCCATTATGTGTTCCGTGGAAGGGTCACACTATACTGAGGGGGGGACCGTGGCAGTCTCTCAGTCCTTGACCTGCTATCACTGCGGGGTCAGTCCTGGTGGCTAAAAGTAGGCGATTAAAACAAGTACACAAGTGACAGTACAGATCTGCTTTTCAAGTCCTGGCTTGGGTTTTGTCACCTACCGTATGGTCCTCCTTTGAAGCCTTAATTCACGTCAGCAGCATTTTCTATTGGGGGTGGGGTGTTACCATTGTTCTTTACTGTAAGTGTAGCTAGTTGCTGACTCATATCTCAGGTTTTTCTATGTTTGAGAAATGGACAGTCTTTTGACAAGGATGTGACTTAATGTTTCCTATGGTGACTGCTAAAACCAGCATAGAATGACATGACTTGATCATAACAACGTGACCGGTGATTGATGCACAGGTAACGTGCTATGTGATATGGGCTTAAATTGAAGGCAGAAAGAGTGTAAACTGCACAGGGAGTACATTGTTACCATGTTGAAAAAGTTCTGTTAAGTCATCTGAGTTAGTTTTTCTTCATACTTTTAAATTTTGGATGTAACCAGACCTTCTCAAGGTTTCACACAGTAACTTTTGATGCATTAAGTGTACACACACAAATGTGTAACAACTCACTGCTTTCAGAGTTTGGTCACAGCTGCTGAACATTTTTAAGAAATGAAAGCAATAGCTCCAATGTTAAGTATGTTTCCGGAGGGATAGGGGACTTGGTTTAGATGGGATATCTGGGCAGAAATTCGCCCTCCATCATTTGGCATTTCTCTTGGCCATGGCCCCCTTCCTTCTTGTGACTGTGATGTAGTCATACATTACAACCTGTAGTCCTTGATTGTTAATGTCAAATAATCAGTTCTTGGAATCAAGACTCCCATGCTGAAGGGCAGCCTGCAAGGCGCACGCTGGAGCACGTGGGCGTCTGCAGGCAGCGGGGCGGCCGCCTCTCCTCAGCATGCGAACCCAGGGGAAGCCCTGGAGTCTACTGGGATGATGCAGAATGGTGATTTTGAAGAGCAGAACTAGACTTCTGTGTGAGAAATGCTGGGAAATGGTTTAGGACATTTGTAAAGTTAGGTGGAAAGACTGTATAAATGTTTAATATGAATATAGTGTTCTTTTGGAGTAAGGTAAGCTGTTGAATGGTTAAATTGTGCATTTCTCATGTTGATGTGTCATGTGTGTTCATACGATGAAATAAAATCAAAACTGGTACCTGTTTATACTTAAATTGAGAAAGGACCTCTCTTTGCAGCTATAAACTTGGTGGGAACAGCAACGTCCAAGTGGCTAAAGGAGCGGTGGTGGAACCTATCCTGCTGTCATGTCAAAGAGGACTTAGCCTGAGCTATCGGGTCTATTATGTGCTCTGTCATTCACGTGAAACAGTGGGTCGTGAGCAGTTTCATGCCAGCCCTCATTCTTTCACACCTGCACCAAATGCACACTACAGTGTAGAAACCCGAGGCACTTGGTAAGTATCTGCTGACTGATCAGCAAATACACAGCATAGGAAGCACAGCGTAGGAAGAAGACAGACCAGGTACACATCTGTGGTGCACTGTGGTGGTACACTTCTGGTAGGGAAAAACAAGGAGGAATAGTTACTGAAGGTCTGTTCTCCATTCTTGCCATGTACATCTTCATGACTTCTCTGCTTATCGGTGACACTGGACATGATGACTTAAGAGACTAGAAGGTTAGTCTCATCAGTTTGTTAGTGAGGAATTACACAGTGAAGGAATAAAGCATTTACCTTCAGTGCAAGCAGATGGAGTGAGGATAAGAATCACAGGTGAAGTCATCATTTAAGTTGGTGGTGCAAGGTTTCTGGGTGAAAGTTATATTTAAGAAAATTTAAAAGGAGGATTGGGCTGGGTGAGTAAAGACAAGGAGAGCTGCATTGGCACAGACCTTGCAGAAAAACGGAGGTGTGAACAGAATAGAGGGCGTGTGGAGTAAACCTGCCTCAAGATGGAAGGTGGCAGGTGGGAACCGGTGTTTCAGGGGGAGGCTTAGATGAGGTATAAGTGTTGGGAAGGCCTACACCCTCCCCAGATCTGTTTTAAAGGCAGGCAGATTTGGGGGGTGAGTACACTAGTGTTGGAAGGACTAGTTAGGGTCTAACAACTAAAATGTAAACCAAGGGTTAGGCTGAGGGGAAATAAGGTGTAAACGTGAAGGGTAGGCTGTGCATAGTGGGACTAGTCGACAAAACCGTCCTTATCCTTAAAACTTTACCTGCCATTTTTAAGTACTCCTGTTGGGCTTTGTTCTTCTGACACATAAGGAGGAATGTTTTCGGTCTAGTAAACAAATTTGTCTAGGTGCTTTTCTCTGAGTATTAGTCTTCCACGTCTATAAATGGAAGAGGGAAGTAAGTTATTTCTAGCATTCTGTGGGGCCCGTTCATCTTTGTACAGCATAATTATACTGGTTATATCTTGAAAGTGTTGCAAAATCAACTGGGAAATTACAGCACCTTCTTGGAAGATGTTTACAAGTCATTCATATTGTTGCAGTTTATGTGCATAAACATCAAACTGTGTTGATGTAAAAACAAGTTTAGTTCCTTTGGTTCTAGAGTCTGAAATGCTAAGGCCACAGGAAATGCAGACTGTCGCCTTGTAGGAGGGTTAGTGCAGCCAGGGTCTAAATGAAAAGTATTCGCTTCACAAAAGCTCTCGGGTAGATTGTGCCTCACCATGTAATAAAAGGTAGCAGCATCATTAATGCCATCAGGCCTCACGGTGACACAACGTAGACCAAGTTCCTAAGAGTAACAGGTGCGTGTGTACACACCTGCATACCACACGAGACAGGTTACACTAGGAGCCAACTAGCTTTAGTTGCTAAAAATGTTTTGACTTTTTCATCTGAAACATGACTAATTTATCTGGTTACCCTTCCCTTTTGTAGCCCTGACACTGAATGCCTTGTATGTGTGCAAGAAGTACAATGTTACTTGTAAATGAGTGAACAATGACATCTCTGGGGCACTATGTAGCTCTTAACCGAGGGATGAAAGGGTGGGGGAAAGAAAAGCGAAATTCTCAAATGATTGAGAAAAACCTTACACCTAAAAAGTCTGCAAGAAGAAAATATTTTACTTCACTCTACAATCTTTAGTATCAACATTTAAGGTAACTTCCTACTGAATACTATATATCTAGGTTTAGCTGAGGTATAAAAACAAGTTGGGAAGAGAAAAATTTCAATCTAGAATTTACTGTATAGTAAATTCTGTAGAAAACACTGTATAGTGTTTGCTCACAACCCCCAATTTCTGAAGATTCCTGATATTGCTTTGGGACTTGCTAGGGGTAATGCCAAAGCTCAATAAATTCCACAAATCCACACAACCAGTGGCACATGTCAGTCCCCTAGGGCTACTGGCTTATGTAACCTTGGAAGTGGCACGGTTGTAATACCTGTAATGTACCTTTTTCATATATATATTAGAGGAAGAAACAAAGATATAACAACAAGAAAAACCCACGTCTTTTCCCAAGTGCACTCCTGTATTTCAGGGTATGAAGTCCTCAAAACTGATTTCATCAAATAAGCACTCTGGCAGGGAATATAAGTGAGTTACTAACAGTGAGGAAATTTTGAGGGAAACCAAGACACAAAATCTGTATTAAGGCACTCATGAAGTCTACATTATCGCATGCTCTTAACCCCACAAATCATGTTTTGAAAATTTACATACACATAATGCAAGGAGTGAAGGCCAGCTTCTGCAGACCTACTGCAGCTAGTCAAACAAGAAGTCTTCATTACAGGAGCCTGTTTGGTGGTGTTCATAAACACAGATGAATAAACTGACAGGCAAAACAGATTCATAAAAGAAGGGAGCCATGGGATACTAAATTTATGATTACAAAAAGAAGGAAAGCAGCTCTCCCTTAGGAACTCAGAATTCAGAGTCATTACGCCAAGACCCTTGGCCATGCTTGGGCATGACAGTTAAAGATGGTCCTCGTTGCTACCAAAGAGTGTCAGAATTGCAGGCTTGGACTCAGAGCTGGAAGGTCTTGAGCACCCATCCAGCCTAGCTCATGCCATAGGGAGGTGGCAACAGGTCCAGGGGAACATGACTTACCGAGGATCAAGGCTGGAAACTCCAAGCCAGGGCTCTTGCCACAGCTCCAGCGGCCTCCTTGCTTTTGAAACATACTGTAGTAGCCAGATGGGTCACTGAATATTACCCAGCAGACATCTAGCATAACTTTCTTGAAATAACAAATCATTCAGATTCCCAGAATCTGCTGGAAAAAGTGAAATATTCAGGAAGGAAAGGACAGGTAACACCAAGTTACCAGAGAAGAACTACCAGGAATGATGTAGAATAAGGGGGTTCTTAAAGACACTGCTCTTAAGCAATTAATTACAGGAGTTGGTAAAAATTGAATCCCAGTTCAGCTGTTTTTTCTTCACCTAAAGTCACGAGGCCAATAGGCAAAGCTGGATAGAGCAGAGCCAGTACAACTGAAGCCTGCAAGCAACAAGATACAACCAGCACCTGTCTCTCACCAGAACCTACACAGGCCTCTCTTCTAAGCCTTCGTCCCTGCTGCAGATGCCCTGAAGGAGAAGCTGGCCCGGGGTTTGGAAGAGCAGCAGGCAGAGTTCTCTGGGATCTGGGGGAGCTGGAGAAGCTGTGGGCCCAGCTGCTTCCCACAAGATCCATGAAATGTGCATGAGATGCCACATGGCCTGACCGATAGCAACTCTCAGTGAGTAAGCATGGTCGTTGCATTACACTAACAAATCTCCTGCACATTTGTCTTGTGGCCAAACTTAGCCAGAAATAAACAAGGATGGAAATTCTGGGAAACAGTGTCAGTCAGCCAAGTGGACAACACTGCAAAACCACCACACACCATAAATATTTAATGCACTAGAATTCTTTAAAAAAATATTGAATTTACCTATTGTTCTTCTCCACTGCTCCCTAGTCATAAGTAGCCTACTTTGTTAGGACTCAAATCTCAGTGAATGCCATGTTTTGTCTAATTCATTTTATTATGTACATTTTGAAGTGCAGTGAGGGGACTGACACCTGAGCCCTGAGCTCTGTAACAGCCCTGTAGACAACCAGCCCTTCCTTCTTTGAAAGCTACAAGCATGTCCTCATGTTCAGAGCTGGGTCTTTATCCTCCAGGAACTCGAAAACAGATCATGATGGTAATGGCGTTAAAATGCCACTTACTGTCAGTCAAAGGGGAAAGGGAGACGAGTATTCTTTGTATAATTTTTTTCACTTTTCTGCCAGTTTGAAGATTTAAAAAAATGAAGTTAAAAAAATAATAATGAGAGTAGGTGGGATCTAGTATAGCCATATTAGAATAATATAAAAACAAATAGACAACATGAAACAGTATGCAAAGACAGATTGGTGGACTGGAAGGCAGTCCGGAACCAGGTCTCTACTGCGTGGAAGTGTAACGCATGAAAGAAGGGGCACTGCACATCAGTAAAGGGAAGACACATTATTCAATCAATGTTGCTGTCTTCTCCTCCATGGCATCTCCCAAATAACCGAGCTATTTAATAGGTTTCTAAGTTACTGAGCATCTTTCTTGATTTGACCTCTCTAATGAACTGCTCTAGAAATAAATGGTTTATGGCCCCATTAAAGCCCTGACCATCACCAAGAAGATAGAAGATTCCCAAACTCTTTTTATGAAGCCAGCATCATTCTAATCCCAAAACCAGATGAAGACATAAGAAAGAAAACCTCAGGCCAATATCATTGATGAACATAGATGCTAAAATCCTCAACAAAATATTGGCAAACCGCATCCAGCAATATGTTAAAAAGATCATACACCATGATCAAGTGGGATTCATCCCAAGGATGCAAGGATGGTGCAATATTTGAAAATCAATAAACATAATACATCGCATAAAACAAAAGACAAAAATCACATGATCATGGCAATAGATACCAAAAAAGCATTTGATAAGGTACAGAACCCATTTATGATAAAAACACTTAGCAAAGTGGGAATAGAGGAAGCATTCCTCAACATAATAAAGGCCTTATATGAGAGACCTACAGTCAACATCATACTCAATGGGCAAAAACTTAGAGCTTTCCCACTAAGATCAGGAACAAGACAAGGATGTGTGCTTTCACCACTCCTATTCAACATAGTATTGGAAGTCCTAACCACAGCAATCAGACAAGGAAAAGAAATAAAAGGCATCCAAATTGGAAAGGAGGAAGCAAAACTGTCATTGTTTACAGATGACATGCTAGTGTACATAGAAAATCCTATAGACTCCACCAAAAAACTGCTTGACCTAATAAGTGAATTTGGCAAAACAACGGGATACAAAGTCAATATTCAGAAATCAAAGGCATTTTTTTGTACACCAATAATGAAATATCAGAAACAGAAATCAGGAAAAAATTCCCATTTGATATGGCAACAAGAAAAATAAAGTACCTACAAATGAATCTAGCCAACGATGTAAAAGACCTGTACTCAGAAAACTATACAACACTAGAGAAAGAATTAAGGAAGACCCAAACAAATGGAAGCATGTACCATGCTCATGGATTAGAAGAATTAACATCATCACAATGTCCATACTACCCAAAGCAATTTACAGATTCAATGCAATCCCTATTAAAGTACCAATGACATATTTCACAGATATAGAACAAACATTTCAGAAATTTCTGTGGAATCATAAATGACCCTGAATAGCTGCAGCAATTTTGAGAAAGAAGAACAAAGTAGGAAGGATCACAATACCTGATATCAAACTGTATTACAGGGCCACTGTAATCAAAACAGCCTGGTACTGGCATAAAAACAGGCACATGGACCAGTGGAACAGAACACAGAGCCCAGAAATAAACCCAAGTCTCTATGGTCAATTAATATTTGACAAAGGGGGAAGAAGCACAAAATCGAGTAAAAATAGCCTCTTCAACAAATGGTGTTGGGAGATATGGACAGCTACATGCAAAAAAGTGAAACCTGACCAACTTACACCATATGCAAAAATAAATTCAAGGTAGATAAAGGACTTAAATATAAGTCATGAACCATAAAAGTCCTAGAGGAAAACATTGGCAGGAAAATCTCAGACATTTCATGCAGCAATATCTTCACTGATATGTCCCCTAAAGCAAGGGACATAAAGGAAAGGAAAGAATAAATAAATGGGACCTCATCAAATTAAAACGCTTCTGCATGGCTAAAAAAACAGCATTAAAATGAAAAGAGAACCACCTATATGGGAAAACATATTTGCCAATGATACTGTGAACAAGGGTTTAATCTCCAAAATATATAAAGAACTCACACAACTAACTCCACTCCAAGAAGACCAACAACCCAATTAAAAAATGGGCAAAAGACTTGAACAGACACTCTCCAAAGAGGACATACAGAGGGCCCAGAGACATATGAAAAAATGCTCAGCATCACTAGCCATCAGAGAGATGCAAATTAAAACCACTATGATACCACTTCACACTGGTGAGAATGGCCATCATAAACAAATCAACAAACAAGTGTTGGAGGGGATGTGGAGGAAAGGGAACCCTAGTGCACTGTTGGTGGGAATGCAGACTGGTACAGTCACAGTGGAAAACAGTATGGAATTTCCTCAGAAAACTAAAAATGGATCTGCCTTTTGACCCAGCGATTCCACTGCTGGAATTATACCCTAAGAACCCTGAAACACCAATTCAGAAGAACCTATGCACCCCAATGTTCATCACAATTTACAATAGGCAAGTGCTGGCAGCAACCTAAGTGCCCATCACTAAATGAATGGATCAAAAAACTGGTACATTCACACAATGGAATTCTATGCAGCAGAAAGGAGCTCCTACCCTTTGCAACAGCATGGATGGGACTAGAGAGCATTATGCGAAGTGAAATAAGCCAGGTAGTGAAGGACAAATACCATATGATCTCATCTTTAACCTGAACCTAATCAACAACAACAAAAAAAGCAAGCAAAATATAACCAGAGACATTGAAATTAAGATCTGACAGTAACCAGAGGGGAGCTGGGAGGGGATAATGGGACAAAGGGTTTTCAGGAACAACTATAAAGGCACATGGACAAAACCAAGGGGAGGGGGTGAAAGCAAGAAAGGGAGATAGGTTTGGCTGGGGTTGGAGGGACAACTCCAAAAGCAGACAACTGTAATTGAACAACAATAAAATAATTTATAAAATAAAACCCTGACCATCAAAAGGCATTATAAAGACAAACTTTTTTCACCCACCTGGCCCAACAAAGGTTAAAGGTGTAGCTCCCCATTCCCACACATTGCTTCTGATTCCTCCATGGCTCGTGCAGACCACTTTACCTCCTCAGGCTGATGGCCCCACCCCACCTTACTCAGGGGGAAAGAGACACCAGCGCCCAGGAGGGCAGAAATGGAAGCTGAGGGTTCCCTTGGAGAAAGGTAGATGGTACCCTGGCTTCTTTCTGGGGCTCTGGTTTCCATCTTTGCCTTTCCAGGTCAGAGGGAATGAATAATCTTGGCTTTTTTTTTTTTTGGTCCTTAGAAAATCCTGGAAGCTGTTGTTACTTTCATATGTCTGAATTTTTTTACGTTACTTTTTTCCATTTAGCTTAAAATGTCATGTTTCTTCTGTCACTCAGAATGTAGTTCAGAATATAGATCATCTTGAACTATATTCCATTCTGGACTACATCGTCATCCACTGATCCTTCTCTGCACACTGTTTCAGGCTGTTTGCTTCTGTTCTACATTTTATTCTGGGTTCTAACAACCTTGCAATATAGTATCTGATTAAAATCCAAGATTTTAAAAATGTAAAAATCCAAGAAGCAGATAAAGTTTACCTGAGATATGCTAAGTTAAATAAGATCATCTTAAAACATACCGCTGAGATTTGGAAGAGCAAAGGGAGCACCGTGAGACCTGCACCCTGCACCCTGCACGGTACCCCGGCCTGGCCCCGGGCTCCCCTTCATCCCTGCTCTCAGTCTCAGTTTCCCTACCTGGATCTGGTCCTACATTCCACTGCTTTGCTTCTTCAGTCTTTTTTTACATTAAAACATTTATGATGTGCAAAGTACTGCATGAAGTACTTTTGCGGTTACTCAAATTGCTTCATTTCCTAAACTCCCGTAGAATTTCAGCAGCATTTTGAGTTCACTGTCTTCAGAGAAGCAGGGCAGGGACCCTGCAGCCACTTCTGTGTCCCCAGTACATCAGATGGGCTCCGTAAGCACCTGCTGAGCGAGTGCTCTCAGGTGCCCTGTCAAGGCCTGGCCGCACCACAGGTTTGCCAGGCCAGGGCTGATGTAGTAAAAGGAAACCTACACTATGCCCCAAGGAAACTAGTTATCAGTGGGGAAGATGAACCGCTGAGGGTGTGCAGAGGGAGTCACCAGTTTGCGAATGAGGACACACGAGGGACACCACAAACTGACAAACAGGAACACCAGCATTTCACCAGCATGGAATGAGGGTGCCTTGGACAAAGGCCTGCTAGGGCGGAAACAGGGCAGGGACAGTAACAACACACGGACTTGGGTTAAATCACTTCTTTATGTGTACAGCCCGTAACCCAGCGAGCCTCGTGAGTAAAAGTTCATGGAGGCTTCTTAAAATATTTCTCCCCTTCTCTCCAGATTTCCACTCTACACACCAGACTAGATAATATACACTCTCAATTACAAAAAAAAACTAAACAAAAATAATTCCCAATGCAGAGTTCTGTAAAGAATTCCTAATAAAACTGTTCCAACTTTCAGTAACACCGAGGATGGCTTGGGTTCACTTTGCAAAGGGAACCGCATCAAGGAAAGGGGTTGGAAGGGCAGAGTCAGGTTTCTGAGCCAGCGGGGCTGCTTTGCCTCCCCTTCAGCCAGCTCCGAGCCCTGGCCACATCGTATGACTTTGTTTCCAAGTGTCCTCAGGGTATCGGTGGTGCCAGGCTCTGTTCCCACCGGCCACCCGCTGGGCAGGAAGGGAGAAATGCTTCTACAGCTTGAGCTCCCGGTCTGGCTTCATGCTGAAGGGCTCCAGCCGCTCGGCCTCCGGCAGCATGCTGTTGAGCCTCTCCATCAGGGGCACGGTCTGGTCGATGCCCATCTGTATGCGGCGGAGGATGGCGGACATCTCGTTGACTTTCTGGATCTGCTCGGCGTATTTGGCATATCTTTTCTGGCGCTCTTGCATGAAGCTGAAGAGAGTTTCTACAGACAGATCTATCTGTAGAAGGAAAAGAAGTGAAGTGCATTAATGTAGTTCAAACAAGTCCTTTCAAAAGTGTCAGGTGGTCAGCATGCCTGGCATGAGGTCACAGCTGACATCAGGTGGGAGCTCACGAGAGCTTTATGGGAAGCGCTGGGGGATTAAAACACCCTTCATGAACAAACTGTTACCCCAGAACCATCTTTAGAGGGAGACAAAGAGACAACTGTCTCTGGCTCTCTGGGAATGTGAGCCACTTACACCTTGAGGAGACCCTGAGATTTCTATCTTGACCTCTCTATGTGAAAGAATCCTGAGCCTGGAAACCAGACGGACCCGGGTTTGAACCTGGCTCTGCCACTTGGGTTGACAATAATTATGCTTTGTATCTCAGGCCTCCATCTGCAAAACAAGGGACAAACGCCAGAGTCACAGGGCTGCTGAGGGGATAAATAACATGCAAACACTTCTAGCACAGCCCTCGGTGCAGCACAGAGGGGCTTTAAAATGTGTTCTTCGTGCCTCCTGCTCTTCCCCGAATGGCTGCAGGTAGGTGAAACTGCAGGAAAGGAGTGGCTCTCCCTGCAAGACCAAAAATGCCAACCAAGGCTCAAGTCCGCACCCGTGGGGCGACCTGTGTGAACCGCTGCACGGACCCTCTCCGCCAGTTAGACAAATGATAGGCTCTGGGCTCCCCTTCTGGGACCTCTTGCTTCCCTTGGTGAAGTTTTTTGCAACCTTCCATCTGGATAAAATAGCGGGAGGGAATCTCCAGCATGCTGGATGCCTGTACCCCCTCCTCTGAGTAGACCCCACATCCACTCCCTCCCCTTTCCTTCCCCAATCAGGAAAGAAACGGTCAAACCATCGAGATTCACTTTGCCATCCTGGAGTTCAAATGCCACTTTGCCCTCTTCTTATCTATTCCAGAAGCATGCCCCTTCCCAACCCAGAATCATGCAAAGCACTGGCACTCAATCCTGCTACCATGGAGCATCTGAAAATGGTGTGATCAAGACAAAAATAGAACTAACACGTACAAGACCGAAGATAACCTCAAGAAAAAAGAACCAGTTCTATTTTCATATGGTGTCTGTGTGGAGAGGGATAGTGAGGAGGCAGGTGCTAGAACTTAGTACGTGATTTCTGGGTTGGTTCTTCTCTTCCTTTCTCTCATTTTGAAATGCCTCAGGGACAAAAAGCAAGTGGGAGAGGGGGTGCAGGTAGGGAAAGAAACATCTGAATGGGAAACCCCAAATAATGTGGAAACAGCTGATAACTTCAGAGGGTTTTCTGCGACCTTGTTCAGTCACTCAGCACTTTGGAGGTAGTGAGCCAGTAAATGATCATGTTCCTAACAGCCGAGTGCCAGGCCTTTTTAGGATGGCAGTTCAATCCAGCACCTAGAATCCACCTTCCGAGATACAGTGGGAGATGTGGGAGCCAGTTGGAATCCTCATAAAAGACAGCAGGGCTCACTGAACACCCGGCTCCATAATTCAGAACCTTCTCAGGTTATCACATTTCACTTGGCAGGGCATTCCCATCCCCCGAACCCCCAACTCTAACAGACTAGACATGCACTTGAGGAGTTTATCTGAAATGGCTTCTAGGGCTCTGATTTATCCTATCCCAGCCCTTGGCTATTGACCCATTCCCTCTAATTCATACTTAATCAGACAGTTTTACAACCCTATAGGCAAGGTGTTTGTCCAAATGGCACTCACTTCCCTACACATTTCCACATGCAGCTGGGGCCCATGTTTAATGTAGCCAGAGCTTTGTTCAAAGCCACATCATATTTCATGCTTATGTGAGAATACATCATTCAAACATGCTGTTCATAAATTCTTATAGTATGTTTTTCAAGAGTCAATTCCATAACAGTCCACACACACACAAAAAACAACAACCCACAGAGGAGGTTGAGTGACCTCCAAGGTCTCAGAGTGACAGAAACAAGATCTCCTCAGTCCAGCATCTTTCTTTTGCGTGTATTTCCTAGGCAAGAGAGCGTACCATTAGTGACACATGAGATTTCAGCTGGAATGTGGCTTGGCACTAAAGAACATGGAAGTGCGTGATGGAAAAGTCATAGCCTTAAACCTGTTCCCATTTTTTCTGAATGCTGCAAGAAAGTCTCAGTTTGGTGCAAGTTAAGACTTCAATACCTGGAGAAGTATATAATAAAATTGGTGACACCTACTTCTCTTGAGCCAAGACTGTTCCCTAATCCCTATCTTCGTATGTGGCAATGATATGCAGTTCAGACTTACCCTTGTGCATCTGACATGACTTTAGGCAATAAAGTCAGTATCTAATGCAGTTCTGGATCTTACCATTTTGACAATTTGGGACTTATCCTTATTAACCTTTCCTGTTTCTATTTTTGGCACAAGGATTCTAGAAACATGAATATAATATACAGTCAATGGACATTTACTGAGTACCACAGGGTGCACCACGCAAAGTCCTAGGTATACAGATTCTGAGAACCAAAACTATTCACACCCACACAGCTTAGTGTACATTAATGTGACTTTTCTTTTCCACTTCTTTGTTAACATAACTTTACTATTCCAGAAAACTCAGGCCCAGAAAGAGAAATGTTGCAAATAACTTTGTTTCAGGAACTTCCAGAAACACCATTTAAATGTTAGAAAGAAAAAAGGTGTAGGTTTTCCAATACAGAGAATGACTATTTATTCTCCACAACTCTTGCCGTGAAACCCTTGCTTTGCTGTGACCACATGACTCAGCTCCAGTCAGTGGGAGGTATTACATATGTGGAAGTCTCTTGCTCAGGCTGTTAGGGGACACACACTCTTGGTATCTCCTCCTCCGTGTCTTGGTCCCTTTCCTCACCCTGCCGTTGCTGGGATGTGGATGTGGCCCCCTTCGACTACAAGGATAACTAAGGTCACATCATCGGTTAGGCAGAGCAGTCCGCTCGAGAAGTCTGCGTCCACCGGGACTTCTGTGGCTGAGAGCAGCACCGGGCACGGAAGGGAAGAATACATTCCCACTCTGCGTAAGCCGCTGCAATTTCGGGTCTCTGTAGCACCAGTTGAATTTAATCTTTTACTGATAGAAAATGAATTTGATAAAGTCCCTGTCTTCAAGGAACCAAATATTTACTCTCAAACTCATACTTCTAACCGTGTCCTATATATTCTGTGTTGTTTTTCATGTCAGTACATTTCAACGGACAGGTGGAAAAGGAGATGAGATTATTTGGGGGGTACCTGCGGGCTTCACTAACACTTTAGATTTCTGCAGAGCGTGCTCAAAGCTGTCCCAGCATCCGGCAGGAACGGTGCAGCCCATCTGCCCTCATGGACAGGCCACTGCCAGATATGGATCCAAAGTGTCAGCACGTCAAACCCAGTAATGCACAACAGGGTAATAGTCCTAACCGAGTGAGGTTTATCTCAAGGATGCATGCTGTGTCAGCATCTGAAAATCAAAATAATCTGCCATTTCAACAAAATACAGGTTAAAAAAATCATATAATCAATTCAATAAATGCAGAAAAGCATTTAAACAAATTTAATTATAAATAATTTCAGCAAACTAGAAACAGAACAACAGTCCTCAATCTTATAAAGGCCATCTACGAAAAACCTCCAGCTAGCATCACAGTTAGTGGTGAGAGACACTTTGCTCCCTAAGATCAGAACAAGGCAACGATGTTCACTCTCATCACTTCTACTTAATATGGTATTAGAGGTCCCAGCCAGTACCATAAATCAACAGGTGGAAATGAAAAGCACAGGAACTGGAGAGGAATGAATAAAAGGGGCTTTATCTACAGATGACACGATAGTACAGGATCCGGCAGCAGTAAGGCCTGCTTGAGTGTGGTTTGTAGGCTAACAATATGGGTGTAATAACTTCCAGTTTTAATTTGAACATTTCACCTAAAATGTCATATGGTATGCTTGAGTGTGATATTGTTATATCACAGAATTGCATGCTTATGATTTTTGTAATAAAAGATTTTGCAATAGCCCTGGCTGGTGTAGCTCAGTGGATTGAGCATGGGCTGTGAACCAAAGGGTTGCCAGTTCAATTCCCAGTCAGGGCACATGCCTGGGTTGCAGGCCAGCTCCCCAGTGGGGGCCATGTGATAGGCAAACACACATTGATGTTTCTCTCCCTCTCTTTCTCCCTCCCTTTCCCTCTCTCTAAAAATATTTTTTTAAATAATTCTTTAAAAAAAATTTTGCAACAAAAGGGGGTGTTGTTTGTGCTGGACCCTGTATATTTAGAAAATCTTAAGGAATCTACCAAAAACTAATAAAACTAACACAGGGATTCTGCAAGGTTTCAAGATACCTGGTCAGTATGCAAAAATCAATACATAGTTGCAATGAACAACTAAACAATGGAATACAAAAATACTATTTAGAATGCATTAGCAACCTGAAGTATGGAAAAATTCAACACACTATGTACAAAATATACTAATATTACTGTATAATAATTTTACAAAACCCTGCTATGAAAAATTAAAGAACTCAAAAACTCAAAAAATGGAGAAATATATTGTGTTCACAAATTGGATGATTCAATACCATTAAGATGTCAGTTCTTGCCAAATTGATTTATTGATTCATTTGCATTGTGAATCAAAATTCTAGAAGGCATTTTTTGGTAGGTATTTGATAGGCAGATTCTAAACACATAGACTGACCAAAAGAATTTTGAAAAAGAACATGGTATGTACATTTATAGTATTTGATTTCAAGACTTACTATAAAGCCACAGAAACCAGAATAGTGTAGTATTGCCACAGAGACAGACATATATCAATAGATCAATGAAACTGAACAGTGTAGAAATACAGTTAAACATATTTAATTAATTGATTTCTTTAAACAAAGGTTCCACGGTAATTCGATGGAGAAAAAGAAGTTTTTCAACTATTACTGCTAGAATAAAGAGATACCTACACAGAAAAAAAATAAACCTGGGCCCCTACACCTCACTCCAGGAACAAAAATTAACATGAAGTG